CTAAAGTAAATAGGTAGAATAACTTTGCCTGTAAACACACACCATCTTAGTAATTTCTAGTTAGCACTGTCATGGCTTAGCAAGCTCCAATATTTGCCTGTTTTTCCTTTTGAAGCAGATTACAGAAATAGAGCCAGCCGGGTGTTTGGACTCCAGTACTCAAGACAGGCTCATAGCACTGAAAGCAGTAACAAACTTTGGCATTCCAATTGAAGTTTTTGACTCTGAAGGTGAGTGTCTCCAGAGGGTTTTATTGAAACACTGCATGATGTAGGCAGTTAAAACTTAATGTCTCATTAAGTACAGATTAACATAGCCATTCACCACAGGAAGATCTTGGCTATCTAAGTTAAATTAATGGATATGTTGTGTTGATTTCATTTGAAGGGGATTACTCTTTTGAAGGGAGAAGGCTAACCAATAATTAGCAAAGCCGTAGAGCCTAGGAGTCAGGTTACTACACATGATCAAACACAAGTGTGTCTGCTTTCTTCAGTGTGTTCTTTTTCTTACCACACAGAAGCTGAAGTATTCCAGAAGAAACTTGATGAGACCACCAGATTGCTCAGGGAGCTCCAGGAAGCCCAGAATGAACGTTTGAGCACCAGACCCCCTCCCAACATGATCTGTCTCTTGGGTCCGTCATACAGAGAAATGCATCTTGGTATGTTTTACCTCCTGTAAGAGGAGAGTCGAGATGCTTCAAAGAAAAAGCTTCTGAGTACAGTGGCAATAGCACTATAGAGTAATGCTGATGTCAATCCCAGGGACAGTTTTTTTTTTACATTTTATGCATTTACTATTCTTCGGGATGCCCCAAAATTATCTAAAGGAATCATGTTTCAGTATCTGGAACTATCTTTCTCTTTTTAGCTGAACAAGTGACCAATAATCTTAAAGAACTTGCACAGCAAGTAACTCCAGGTGATATCGTAAGCACGTATGGTGTTCGGAAAGCAATGGGGATTTCCATTCCTTCACCCATCGTGGAAAACAACTTAGTGGATTTGACAGAAGGTGCGTGCCCTGTTTCTCTGGGAGAGTGGAAAGCTGTTGTGACTGTAGTCTTCCCTCAGTGTCTGTCCAGGATTGGTTCCAGGCCCCCAGATTTGGTATCTGCCCCACAAGGATACCAAAATCTGTGGGTGCTCAAGATCGTAACAAAATGTATTTTCATATACCCTATGCATAACCTCCTGTATACTTTAAATCATCTCTAGATTACTTATATACTTAATGTAGTTAATATACTGTGTTTTTTGTATCTTTTTTCATTGTAGTCTTTTTCACTAAGTATTTTTTGATAGACAGTTGGTTGAATCTGCAGATGTGGAACACATGGATAAGAAGAGCCAACTGTAAAAGGAACATTAGTCTTCTCTTTTCAAATAACACTTGAAAGATTTTGTCTGTTTTTCATGTATAAAATTACTCTTAGTTTTCTTTCCATCTTGTCTAAAGAATTAGTAAAGATTTCATGTGTGCAGGAAAAGCCACAGTGATAGCCTGATAATACACCTAGTCTTCAGCCTTGGATGTGGTAAAGAGGGGCTCTCATTATACTTCTGGATGGCAGCTTGACCTTCATGTCTCCTTTATAATTAAAAGGTAAAAAAAAAAAAAAAAATGCTGAATTAAGTAGTGTCTTTTTCTTTCAGATATTGAAGAACCTAAAAAGACGGATGTTGCTGAGTGTGGACCTGGTGGAAGTTGAGGCTGCCTGGTATTTGATTATATATTATGTACATACTTTTTCATTCTTAATTTAGAAATACTTTTCAGAAGATATTAAATATTTGTAAATTGTGTTTTTAATTAAACTTTGGAACAGTGAATTTTAATGTTCCAGAGGTTGAACTTGTATTAGGTAATAAAGTTGGACCTGGGACTCATCTTGGTGATATATACAAAAAACCCTTGTAGGGAAGGAATGTACTTGGGGCTGTTGCCATACCTGGGCAGCATTCTTTAAAAATAGGGCCTGCCCATGCTGCTTCTTCACAGACAGGACCATCACTAAGAAACGTTCTTAAAACAGCCCCATCCAGTGAGATTTTCCATTATACAAACATGTTTAAAATAATTTTAGAATTTACTAGTGTGGTTTTGCCCTTGTGTGGGTAATTAGGCATCTCCCACCGCCCCCCTCCCTCACCCCCCCAAAAGCACACTGCGAGTTTTATAGTACTGTCACACAGCTGGTGTTCTTTTTTTGATTTGTTTTTTCCATTTTTTAAAGAGTTACTTAGTACTATAGCAAAATAATAACCCAAATCTAAATATTCCTTGAATACATCAGGGAATTACCAGATTACCAGAAGGTTACATTTGTATTTACTGTTTATCTGAAATAACAAAGGTTTGTAACCAAGCAGTTGAACTCTTTAGGAGACCACAGAACATACCAGCAAGCTGAGATAATGGTGATTTTTCTGAATCTGGTTCAGTATAGAACCTATTATTTAAAATAAGCAAGGGAAAAAAATCAGGATGGAGATAGCCTTGTTCAGTGAACAAATTAAGGCCCTTATACAGTTCTTCTATAAATCACCCAGGTAGGAAGCCATTTGATTTCCATTTTCCTGACTTTGAAAATTAATATTTAGGAAGAACAAGCAAGGTAAAGGAAAATTCCCTCAAAAGACTTAAAATCTTATGCTAAAAGAGTCAAATTTTCAAGTCATTTTAGAGTCTACTTTTAATTTGTAGTGAGTTCCTGAGGGCCAAGAAAATATTTAAATTTAAAATACCTTAGGACACTCGAGTTAACCAAATTGCTAATTTAATGTATAAAAACAGCTAAACACTGGTACTTTATAAAAATGAAACAGCATTTTGAAACAAATGTTACAGATCTATATAAATATTCAATATACAGAATAAACCCTAGTTATTTGCATGCACACCTCAAATCATATTTCTTTACATCGACCTATTATATACACGGAGTATACAGTGGTTAATGATCTTCTCTTCTGTTAGGAAACTTTCTCAAGCCAGAAAACTTCAGGTATTATTTTCACCAGTTAACTCAGGAGAAATTGTAAGGAAGTCCTTGACCCATAGAGAGAAGGTCACTGTTAGAACAGATACTTATTTCTGTCATAAAACAAAATGACACCAGTAAATAAATTACTTGGTAATTTTAAAACAGGTTAATAAAAATAAAATACTTGCAGGTGATTTTTATGGTCAGTTATACTCTATAACCTGAACGCTGAAAACTAAAAACTTACAAACTATTATTATTTGAGCATAGCACAGTGCTTTAATTGGAAATAAAAATGCATGAATGGTAATCAGTTACTTGTTAAACTCTCAACTGGGGTTTCTGTTACTGAAGAAAAAAGCAACTTAAATATTGCAAGAGTACATATATGCTGACCTCAGAGAGGCCCAGTGTACTGATGTGTTTCCATGTTATATTAGCAACAGAAACCTTCCTGACTTCCCAGGAGATCCCCACCAGGCAGCCCTGGTCACTGCTAGATCTTGAGAGCACAGATTTCAGTACAGTGTTCAGATGAAACCAGCCCTTCATGTGAAAAGCTGGTGTGTAAAAAAGGCAGCTTAAGCGAGGCTTACTGCCCTTGCCAGCACTATTGCCATGGAATTCCTTTATACAGCAAGTTCTTGTATTCATACTGATTCCAGTTACATGCAACACAGAGCTACAACTAGTCCTCGCAGCACCTTTGTGCAAATTAGAATATGCCTGCCTTTCCTCGGGCTGATAAAGCCACACATGACACAGCACAGGCTGACAGGTTCGATTTTCATCCCCTCCACTGTCCCCCCCCAACTTGGCTGTACTCTAATTTGCAAGCAGGGGGCAACTCATCCCAGGACCCCAACAAGTCTGGTCAGGCTACCCAGTCTGCAACCCTGTATAATCTTGTAAAGGCTCCTGTTTGCAAGACTTTCTGTATAAATTCAGGGAGTTCATGGTAACTTACAGCTAAGAATCCCTGCTATGTAAGGAAATTGAGTGCATTGGAAATCCTAGAGATGCTCTGGTGATGAGACCACTGGTTAAGACTTCTGGTTATGAAGTCCGTTCAGAAAAAGGCACAGGCAGTTTGGTTATTTCTCACCCTGAAACACTTAGGTTTACTTTTAGTTCCTTGGGGAGTTTGAAGCCCAGTAAGACACATCCCAAAAACCTGGCTTTTTGCATTTGCCTTGACTCATGTAGTTTCAGAACAAGACAGCTCAGCATTTGTGAGGGGGCTGGCTTCCCAGATCCAGGAGCCTATGTATGTACCCATGCTGAGTAGATCCTTCTAGTTTTGAAGCTCTCCAGAGTTAGCTCTGAAGACTAAAGGAAAGGAAAGACTCACCTACAGGTTGTCCAAGTTATTTCTAAACAGACTCCATTCCTTTCCAGTGAAGGACAGCAGGGGAGAAAGCAAAGATGACTGAGTAGTTGAAGAGATGAAAGGCCGCACCTTACTTTCTAGGCATCTTTCTCCAGAATGCTTGCCTCACAAGCTGCCTCATTCAAAGCCAAGGCTCCACTGCTCCCTCCCTTCTTGCTGTGACCACGTTCCTCAGGATTCAACCCCTACAGCCAGCTGACCCTGTAAGCTGATGCTAGACAGTAGTCCTGCTTCATGTCAGTGGTTAAAAATGGCAGAGAAGGCCGGGCCCGGTGGCTCAAGCCTGTAATCCCAGCACTTTGGGAGGCCGAGGCGGGTGGATCACGAGGTCAAGAGATCAAGACCATCCTGGTCAGCAAGGTGAAACCTCGTCTCTACTAAAAATACAAAAAGTTAGCTGGGCATGGTGGTGCGTGCCTGTAATCCCAGCTACTCAGGAGGCTGAGACAGGAGAATTGCCTGAACCCAGGAGGCGGAGGTTGCGGTGAACCGAGATCGCGCCATTGCACTCCAGCCTGGGTAACAAGAGCGAAACTCCGCCTCAAAAAAAAAAAAAAAAAATGCAGAGAATACAGTGGAGGGAAGAGATTTTGTCTAGTGTCTAAAAAGTCATTCAGAGGATAAAACTCCCATTAATGTATCCATTTTAAACAAACATGCCAGACAAGGCAAAAAGTAACAGTGTTAATTACGGTGTTTTTCTCTCTACTGTTTGAAACCCTTTACAGATGTAAAACACCCCTTTTCAGCTTCCTTTACCAGAATGCCTCTGTGAGAAACACTCTCATTGCCCGGCCCACCAGGGAGAGGGAGTCTCCAGTCCATGCTAGACAGCTCAGTTTACTCCTTGGTGTCTAGAAAAACAGACCACCTCACTTGTGTGTGCTCACAGGCCACCGAGGTGGGCGTCTGTTTTCATCCTGTGCTAAAGTCGCCTCTGTAGTACTTCAGGGAACAAAGATCTCAGCCCTGAACCAGTGAACATTCTTCTGGAAGAGGGGACTTGGGCTGAAGAGCTAGCCTGGCAGCTGTTAGACCAGGCACAGTTTCTGGTCGCCACTGTGCATTATGGTTCAGTGGCTGCTTCGAGCCAGAATCTGGTGCACGTGTCTGAGAAATCCTCCCAGCACAGGTCCAAAGAAGCCAACATGCACAGCCATCTGCCAGGAGGTGACCACACCCTCTGAGTGCCATTGGGATTGGCATGGGGCGGAGTCTTCTGGCTTGCTTCAGGGAAGGAGATTGGCTTCCCAGACTGCTCGGAATCCAGCAGGAGCCCTCAGTTCAGCCCCAGCCCCTGAAACTTGGCAGTGTCCGTACAGACAAAGTAAGTCCTCAGCTCGCCTTTGCCTTTGACGTTGATCAGGCCACGGCATTCACATGAGTACCCGAGGCCCTGGAGGATGGTGCAGGTCTCCTCAGTAACCTGAAAAGGAAGAGAGACCTGTCTTCAGAGGTGGGAAGAACACCTGTCGTGGTAGGGACAGATGGACTGGCTGGGCACGCAGTCTGCTTCCCCTGAAGAATGTGATAGCTAGACCATGGCTGCTGGGTGGGACAGGAGCTCTTAAGCCCAAGTCCCCTCACCTCTGGAGAAGATCTTTTCCCCTCAGTCGCCAGCTTCCCCAATGGGTCTTTACCTGGATTTTCCCAAGTTCTCCAGTGCTCTCCATCCGGCTGGCCACGTTGACCGTGTTTCCCCAGATGTCATACTGAGGTTTTCGGGCCCCAATCACTCCAGCAATCACAGGCCCATGGTTTATGCCTGAAGATGATGTTTACAGTTGGCCAAGCATTCAGGCAAAGCCTCAGGCTTCTGCCCTCAGGGAAGGCCAGAGAATTCATAGGACAGCACAGGATGCGGGACAAAACTAGAGTGAATGCTAGGTTGCTTCCCAGAGTCACCATGATGCAGTCGGGCTTTGAGTGTGAGGAGGGCACTCCCTGGCCAGCTCTTTTTCAGACTCAGAAGCGGAAAGTCTGGGTTTGATGTTAGCACTTGTATCTGCTAATCTCCCTTTTAACAAAGGTCTGGCTTTGAGTGCTAGTTAGGGTTAGTGACTTTGCTTCTTTCTCTGTATTTTGCCCATTCACAAACAGTAACACGTAACTACAGAAAACGGGAGAAGCAAAACAGGTGGATCGCTTGATAACCAAGGTTCTGCGTTTTCTGTAGTTACACATTACTAAAACTCAGCGGTAACTGTATGCTTATGCAAAACGTCAGAATAATTGACCAATTACTGAGCTTGTCAGATGGGAGGGATTTCTAAAACCTTTCGTAATAGATGGTGAGGTACAGCTGTGCCTCACAGACTGGGTGGGCTGATCTGGAGGCAGGGGCTGCCTACACCCGCCCCCGCCCGGGCTCACCAACTCGGAGGCGGAAGGAGTTGAAGGAGTGCCTGTTGATGCCGTCCAGCTTGCTCATCAAGGCGATGCTGAACTCCACCATGACGCCAATGTGGGCGTGCTGCCGCTCCAGCTCCTGCGGGATGGGGTGTGAGTCAAGTCCTTGAATCTCCAGAGCCCCCAACCTAGTGGGCACTGGCATGCCTCTCGTTTAGGATTCCCCACCACTAAAATCCTGGCTGAGCCCTGCAAGCACCTGCGCCTCTCCCTCAAGATGGGACAAGGACACACCCCTTTAAGGTGACAGGTCACCTTTAAGTGAGAACAATCGGCTGAATTTCCCCTCTCGGGCTTGAGTACCTGGTTCTCGTGCCCCGAGGTGATGCTGAGCCCTGCAGCTGCCATGTATGTGCTGCCGATGGTCTTGATCTTCTCCACGCCACTGAACTTGGGCTTCAGCAGGAGCTGCCAGTGAGAAGGAAGCAGTGAAGCAGGCACGCCACTCCACAGCCGCAGCCAGGCTGCCCCCACTCCTCAGGAAGGGTGTGGGGCTCCCTCCACCCGCCGCCTGCCTCTCGCCTCTCGCCCACTTCTCACACTACCCTGCCTGCTGAGCGCATGACTAAGCACAGTGAGGGGCGTGGCCCCTGGTGGCTCCTGCTCTTCCTGTCGTCTCTGTCCCCTCTCTCTCCCTCTTCCCTTCCATCCAGGTCTGCACAGAGCAGACACACCATCATCTACACAGAAATGTGGATTCTTTGTCTCCAGCAAGAAGGCAACCCAAACTGATTTCCTCTGAATCGGCTTAGTTGATAGCATGGGCTTAGCTGGAAATGAAGCTCTTGTAAAGGGCCTGAGTCTAATCTTAGCAAGCTGCCCGTCACAGAGAAGGTGCCAATGAAATATTTGCTGCATAAAACAGAATGAAAAAGAAATGTGTGCCCTTTATATACTGTGTAATGTATTTTCAGAATGTATTACAGGGAAGCAGTGGTTTTTTTTTTTTGAGACAGAGTTGCACTTTGTTGCCCAGGCTGGAGTGCAGTGGTATGATCGAGGCCACACATTGCCTGGGCATCTCCATGAAGCCAAGACCTGAGGAAGCCAAGCTCTGCGTATACTCCAGCTCCGCACCTCAACCCTATGGACTGTGCCTGAACCTTCCGCCTCTTTGGCCCGCCCCAGCCCCTTTCCAGCACAACCTCCACCTCCCAGGTTCAAGCAGTTCTCCTGTCCCAGCCTCCCAATTAGCTGGGATTAAAGGCACGTACCACCAAGTCTGACTACTTTTTTGTATTTTCAGTAGAGATGGGGTTTCACCATGTTGGGCAGGCTGGTCTCAACTCCTGACCTCAAGTGATCCACCCAGCTGACCTCCCAAAGTACTGGGATTACAGGTGTGACCCACTGTGCCCGGCTCTGTGTCGCATTTTTTAATGAGTTTAAGATGGCAGGTACTGCTGCCTTGCCCTCCTCACCACGGGTGGGGCTGCCACATAGGGCTGGCAAAGTCGTACCTCATCAAAGTCGGCAATGATCTCGTTGAGCAGGCGGAGGCACTCCAGCCCTTCTTTGTTGACGTCGCACTCCGTGTAGAATACTTTGAAGTCCGGCACAGAGGCAAACATGACACAGACACAGTCATATGACTGATGGTACCAGTCCTGGATGGGAAGAAACCGGCCCTTACGCCACTTTACCTCTTGAGGGGGAGGGGAAGAGTGGCAAGGCCTCAGGAGCAGATGACACTGAACTGCCCAGCCTGCTTTTTGGGGATGAACCTGCATGAGGTTCATCCAGCTGTTGTTACAGAGCAATTCAGAATCAGTGGCCAAGGGAGGGTCAGGCTCTGGTTGGTTTTTTGCTCACAGAAGCACCTTGGGTGTTTCCGTGTACACACAGGGTGAGAACCTCTGCAGTAGTGGACGGTGACGGTTGGGAGTTCTGCGTTCTCACTGGGCCTCAGTCTCCTATATAGAAAACTTGCTACCCAAAACTGGTGGAAGTATAGACATTTTCATCAATACAGAATGTCCAGATCACAAACCCCTGAACACATTTCATCCTCACCACAATCCTTTGGGGAACTGCTGTCGGCCCATTTTACAGAGGTGAAGACCAAGGCCCGGGAAAGCAAGGTACCTTGTCCACAACCACACTCAAGCCCAGATTCCTGACCCCAGGCCTGTGCTCTCAGAGCTGATGCCACACATCACCTGGGCATCGTGATGAGGCCAAGACCTGAGGATGCCACGCTCAGCGTGCACTCCAGCTCCACACCTAAACCCTGCAGACTGCGCCTGGACCTTCCGCTGCTTTGCCCCTTCCCAGCACACCTCATTTAACTTGTCACCGATGAAGTGGGCGGCCACATGGGCCGGCAGGACGTTCTCCAGAAGAAGGCGATTCACGTTCTCCATGGTCTCAAACTCCTCGTGCTCCTTCTTGAACTTCTTCTTCCATAGGCAGTCCAGGCGGCAGTAATAGTCAATCTGCAAATGGTAGGTACATAAGTAGCCCATCTGTAGGCAAGCGGGGCCAGGCTGGCATGCATCTCCTGCTAGTTCTGTCTGTTCCTGGCATCCTTGGAACCTCTGGCCAGGGAACCAGCACTTTCCTGGCAGGACTCTGGTCTCTGCTGCTCCACATAAGCCCACCCCACCCCATCTCCAGATGGAGGTGAGGACAAGTGGGCAGAGCTGGGGCAGGGGTGGTGGGGTAGCCTTCATACCTGTCTGGAGAGTGTGAGCAGGGTGATGTAGAACAGGACCAGGTAGAAATTGATCATGGTCTTCAGGTCCCTCCAGGAACAGCTAGGGGTGCCGCTGAACGTGAAGGGAGGCCCAAGTCACTCCCAGCACTCACTGCCCCAACCCGCCAACAGTCATGCTCTCCAGGTGCCACGTGCACCCAGGGTGAAAGGGGAAAATTGATTCTAATGGGGTGGGTAGAAAACAGGACAACTTGAGGTTATAAAGGGAGGAGGGGTAAGGTGGGCCAGGAGGTGGGGGAGCCCTCACAGGGGTGACCTCTGACATCTCACTGCTGGATGACCGGAATCAGCCATAATGAGGGCCTGGAGGGAGCCCAGAGCTCCTGGTGAGCCAGGGCCAGTGGCAGGTGGGGTGGGGTGGACGGGTGGCATAAGAATTCTGCAGGTGTAGGGCAGACCCACAGGGGCAGATTCTGTTCTGGGTTCCCAGGCTTCCAACTTTTTTGTTTGGGGGGTGGGGGGCAGGTCCTCTCCTTAATCCACTTGGGACCCAGAGCCCCTAAAACCACACACCCCAGGCTTGCCTGAGCCTCAGGTGTCACCACCAGTCCAGGAAGAGACGGAAGCAACTGCTTCTTTCAGAACTTGAGACCCTGGATGTGGCCCTGAGAGGCACAGAGCTAGATAGAGCTGTAGCCCCCTCCTTCCCCACCACTAGACTGGCCTGGAAACAGGATGACCCTGTGGCCTCTGTCAGACCAGGGACTTCCTAAAGAACCTGTCAGTGAGTCGAATTCCTCAGCCCTGAGCGCTGGAGACCTGGGACCTGGGCAAGCCTTGGTCCCTACTGTGAGATGAAAGCCTTGATGTGAGCAGACACCAGATGAACAGGCCACCATGGGGATGGGGACAGGGGCGGGGCCCCACCTGGCGGTGCTGTTGGGCTCGGTGAGGTTGCCCAAGCCTTGGCTGGAGCAGTCCCAATGCCAGCACGGGGAGAGGTTGAAGAGCACCAGGTAGGCCACCAGGGCCACTGTCAGCAGCACGACCTTTGGCTCCAGGCTCATCCGCAGGAAGACGGAGCAGGCGATGAAGCCCAGGATGCAGCTGCAAGTGTAGTACTGGGTGGGGGTGGAGGGGTCACTCAGGACAGTGCCATCCCACCACCTACGCCTCAGGCCTAGCACATACCCCCGAGCCCCACCCCCCCAGTGCCTCAGCATCGCACTCTCGCCTTGCTGCCTCCCTTCTCAACAAAACACAAGATCTAAGAGTTTCCAGTGTTGAGTTGTTTTCACCGTAGTTCTATATGAAGTGAGCTCATTTAAAGGGGAAAAAAACACAATATGCAGGTGCTGTGGATATGACAGACCATGATCAATGTCAAGGCTAGAACATGCCAGCATCCAAGCTGCCTCCCTGAGTTTTTGTGAGCTTGCCCTTTCAAAGCCCCTCTGCCCTGCTCAAGATGGTGCTGTGGCTCCCCAGCCCCCAGAGTAAAGACCACACTCTTCACCCTGGCATTCCTCAACCCCCCCCACCCCCGTCAATCAAGCCCGCCCCTGGCTCCATCTCCCAGTTCTCCCCTACTCCCTCCCCAGGGCAACCCACCTCAAACCCCAACACACACCTCAGCTTTTTCCCACACCATCCCCTGTCCCGTCTCAGAACCTTTCTAACCTTTAGGGCCCAGCTCACTGCACCACCACCCCCTGAAGCTGCAGAGGCCTGCCCGCAACGCCTAGACCAAGCCCGCCCAGGCCTGGATGGCTCCACACTCCCAACTCGGCCCATGGGTCCCTCCTTTCCCAGCTCTGTAGGAGAGGCCAGGCTCAGCCTCCACGTGCTCTGCTCTCAGAGAGTCAGCACCCATACTTTTGAGGGTCCCAACTACAACCCTGGCAGCAGCAGCCCCACTCCAAGTGAGGCCACGAAGCCAGGCCTGGCGCACTCACCGGGAGGGGCTCGCACAGGGCCCTTGCCTTGCTGCTCATGGCCAGCAGGCCTGTCTCGTTGCTGAAAGGCAGCTCTGGGACTGGGAAAGGCATCAGGGGCTGCAGAGGAGACAGGTCCCCATCAGAGCTGGTCCAGGGACAGCTGCCCAGGCCGAGCAAAGTGGCCCCCAGGCAATCGTGTGTATTGCAGCAGCCTGAGGTTTCACGATGGGGTCAGCTCTGAGCACAGCAGCCATCAGGTTCAGAATGCAGAGAGGCTGAGAGATGAGGGCACAGTCACCCCCAGAGCGGCAGCAGCCAGGGGATGGGACCAGCATTTTCAACCTCCTCCCCAGGTGACCCTAGGGAAGTGGTCACAGGAACACATTCCAAAATCCCAGGGTCCGGGGCGCAGAGGTGAGGAAGAGGCCATGGCAGGGTCTGGAAGGGAGGTGGACAAGTGTCCCACAGGCTGCTTTCTGCAGCACTGAGTCTCTGAGCACCAGCAGAGGAGCAGGGCTCATCTCGAGAGGGGAAACTGAGTCTCAGGAGAGGCAGGGTCACCTCATGGCCATGAGGAATGAATATGGTGTCAGGATGTGGTGGCTCAAGGCATCGCATCTTCCTGAGGCTGGCCACACGAGCTTTCTGGGCCCCAAAAGTCCTCTTGAAAACCCAAAGGTGAGGAGCCCTGAGGCTGACAGCCCCCTGTCCCCCCACCCCACCTGAGTCTGCAAAAGGGAACCCCACAGGGCCACCTGAGCTTGGGGGAGAGGTAAACCCAAGGCAGCTTTTAAGGCCACATTGTAGGTGTCCTGAATCTAGAGGTGCCCCTCTACCTAGGAGGCCTGCCTCCCCATCCCAGGACCCACCAGGTTGATGATGGCCACGGTGAGCAGGCTGCCGATGGTCAGGACGGCCAGGGTCAACCTCAGCAGGGGCTGCATCTCCACCCTCTCGGAGACAGTGCGGAGCATCCCCCGGGCTGGGCAGCACCTCTGTGGAGTAATGGGGTCAAGTCACCCTGGACAACAGCCTGGACAAGGAGGGCTGGCCACTGGCAGCCTGGGGAGGGGTACCCTCAGGAGAAGCCTCCAGGGCACTCAGGAAATTGTCCCCGAAGCAAGAGTAAGGGGCACCTAGCCTTGACCTAAGCCCAGCCAAGCTTACAGGGAGGGCTCTTGGGCAGGTGTCCCGACGCAGGGAGGGAGGGGCCACGGGGTCAGGGCTCCCCACTTACCGAGAACTCGGTGGCAAAGCAGAGGCCCAGCACCAGCCCCAGCACACAGGCCACCAGTCCGAAGGACACACCCAGCGCCACCGTCCTAGAGAGGAGGGAAGAACCTAGGTTCTGCCTAGGGCCCTCTGCTCAGGAACCCCGCCCCTGCCAATCCTCCGGCTGACAGCCCCCTGTCCCCGCCCCACCTGCTATTCTCCCCGCAGCAAAGAGGGGGGAAACCTGTGGAAACTGTGGCCCTGCTGCCACATGGGCAACACACAGGGCCTAGCCAGATCATGAAGACTGAGGTCAAGACCATGTCACTCTTTTTGGTCCAAGTATATAAAAAATGAGCAATATTTCTGCAGCCTTTAGACTCAGAAAAACTGTAAAATCGTGTTCCCTTTTTTATTACTATTTTTTTAGACAGGGTCTCACTCTGTCGCCCAGGCTGGAGTGCAGTGGCAAGGTCTCGGCTCACTGCAACCTCCACCTCCTGGGTTCCAGTGATTCTCCAGCCTCAGCCTCCTAAGTAGTGGGATTACACGCGTGCACTATCATGCCTGACTAATTTTTTAGTAGAGATGGGATTTCACCATGTTGGCCAGGCAGGTCTCAAACCCCTGACCTCAAGTGATTTGCCCCTCAGTCTCCCAAAGTGCTGGGATTACAGGCGTGGGCCACCGCACCCCACCTCCCTATTATGTCTTTGTTAAGCATATCCAAAACCACAATCCCGGTCTATGCTTCGGCCTAACTGCTCTTCTAGAAACCAAGTAGCTGACCTCAGATCCCTTCTCTCTGACTTCACCCTCATCCCTATACCCCACCCAGCAGGGACCTAGAGCCAAAAGCATGAATCTCAGTGACTTCTGGATAAATCATTAGCCCTCTGCATCTGCATGTCCCTGCATATAAGAAAGGATACTGCCTAAAGTTTTCAGTCTGTTCTCCTAGCACTCCAAACACCTAAGGCAAGGGCTGACAAAGCAAAATGCCTGCGGGCCACACATAAGACAGGTGACTGAGATGAGAGACATTAGGGAGTAGGGAGGCCTGTGGCAGAAAACACACATTCTATTAAAAAGAAGTGTTGGTAACTCAAGGTGTGCAGCCACAACCCCTGGTCCAGTTTCTCGGACTCCAGCAGCCGACCCCTTCCAGCCCAAATCACGTAGCTTCTTGCAGGTGCTCTGGTGGGTCTTGCCACAGTCACCTTCCAGCCTGGATCCCAGCAGGCCGGACCCCCACACCCCCAATCCAACTGACCTGGGCATGAGCAGGACGTGGACAAGTAGAATGCAGATGAAGATCAGGCTGGCACAGGCGAAGTGGTGGCGGGCCCCGGGGATGGGTGCCAGGCGGTACTGGGGGCAACAGGGTCTGTGAGGGGTGGCCGCCTGCAGGGCCACTTGCCCACCCCGCTCCAGTGAACCAGGCTTCAAAAAACACCTCCTCAGGTCAGGTGCGGTGGCTCACACCTGTAATCCCAGCACTTTGGGAGGCCAAGGCAGGTGGATCACTAGGTCAAGAGATCGAGACTGTCCTGGTCAACAAAGTGAAACCCCATCTCTACTAAAAATACAAAAATTAGCTGGGCATGGTGGCACGTGCCTGTAATCCCAGCTACTCAGGAGGCTGAGGCAGGAGAATTGCCTGAACCCAGGAGGCGGAGGTTGTGGTGAGCCGAGATCGCGCCATTGCACTCCAGCCTGGGTAACAAGAGCGAAACTCCGTCTCAAAAAAAAAAACAAAAACAAAACAAAAAAAAAAACCACCACCTCACTGGGACAGTGGCTCACACTTGTAATCCCAGCACTTTGGGAGGCTGAGGCAGGAGGATCACTTGAGCCCAGAAGTTTGAGACCAGCCTGGGCAAAACAGTGAGACCCCATCTCTAGTTTAAAAATTAATTAATTAACTAATTAATTAAAACTCTCCCACCATCCTGGAGTTCCAGGCGATATTACACTTGGTAAGTTTTGTTTGTTTCCAATCGCAGCTCTTCCTATTTGAAGATAATGTCTTCCCCTCCCCTATGCCACCCGAGTTACTCTTTCCAAGGTCCCTGCAGAGCTCACGGCCCCAAGTACATGGACAGGAGCCAAGTCTGAGCTCCAGGGCTGTCTTCACCCCAAATCAAGGAGCTGGCAGGCGGGGAGACTCCCATGCCACAGCCCCCACCACCCAGATGCCATCACGGGATCACAGACCCAGGAGGGTTCCTGCTGCAGGGAAGGAAAGCACGCTTGGCTCCCTGGCCACACAGCCTGCAGCATCACTCAGGCGGCAAGGCCCGCCGGGCACGTTTCCTGGTGACCTCACCGGGGAAGCCCCCAACTCAGGGAGCCCCAAAAGAGGGAATCCCCCCAATCCTGGACTCTGGGCGCCATTTCCTCGGGCTGAGGGAGAGGAGACCCCCCACCCCCTGGAGCAATGAGGGCCAGGTCCGTCCTCTCTGACGGGCCACACCTGCAGCTGGGACAGGCTCTGGAGCCTCTGAGAGCCAGTTTCCTGTCTGTGAAGTGGTAGAGCAGCACCCCGGGTCGGCAGTGTGAGGGTTAAATCATATAATGTGGGTGACGGGGACGCTGCCAGAACCCAGAAGGCACTCAGTAAAGAAATGGTCATTTTCAGTACAAAAGGCCCGTAGCAGCAAGACAGGACACTGACAACCTGAGTTTTGGGATCTCGTCTCATTGCAAGGCCAGTGCCGCCAGCCTGAGGCATCCATGTCAGGATCCGCTAAGGCTCTGGCACTGGACGGAGCAAAAGTGTTGCCTACCTATGGGGGCAAATCTCTGGTGGGGCATTCGGGTCATGGAATGAGGCCAGCAAGAAACCGAGCCAGGCTGGCGCTGTGCTGGCCCCAACCCTGCCCAGGAGCAGCTGTGGATTCTCCATGCCCCTCCCCAAGCCAGTCTTGGGAGTGCAGGCTGCCCTGTGACCTGCGTCCCCCCACCCCACCCCGGGCCTGGAGACCCTGCCCCTCTAGGGGGAAGGCGGCTGGGGGCCCTCACCTCTCGCTCAAAGCCCTTCTCCAGGAAGATGGACCCGAAGGTGTAGAAGTCGTCAGACTTGGAGCAGCAGGGCCTGTGGGTGGGGCCCTCGGCAGTGAGATGGGGTTGGGAGGGGGTCCAGTCCCTCGGGAGGCAGCAGCAGACAGGGGGAAGGAACAGGGCTGGGCCATTGGGCATGGGGCACGAGGTGGGCCTGCCCATATGGGGGACCCCTGTCGAAGGGGGAGAGGTGAGGGGTGGGCAGAGGTCTCAGGCCTCACCTGGTGGAGCTGAGCCCCTCGATGGCTGACAGCATCTCATCATATGAGTCGTCCTCCAACCGCCCCCTGGGGGACATGCTCCTGGAATCAGATACCCCCAGCTGCATCAGCGCAGAGACCACCTCCGACTCTCCCAGAGGAGGGTGTGGACATGGACACCAGTGGAGTTCCAGAACTTCATGTGGGATGATGAAGGAATGGGTGGGACCCACTGAGGCCCAGAGAGTGCAAGTGAGGACCCAGCATCGCCTAGCATGGCCCAGTTGGCCAGCAGCCCAGCCAGAGGCAGAGGGCAGACCCAAGCCCCAGTCCAAGGCATCTTTGGCTACACCCCCAGGGTTGGCATGGGGACCAGAACATACACCGGCATCTCCTTCCCTCCCACTGACCCCACCAGAGCAGCACACAACAGGTGCTCCATCATGGCCATGTGGAAGAGCCAGGGACCAGGAAGCTCTGGTTTCTAGAAACGCTTTGACCCAAGCCCTGGCCAACTTCACAGAGGTCCTGGGCTGGGCCTTGCAGAGCTGCCCACTGAACAGAGTCTGGTCAGGGAAGCCTGCCTGGAGGAGGTGGCTGCAGCAGGACTTGGCCAAGAGGGCAGGGCACGCACCTGTCAGGGGTCCGGCGGTGGCGATGGGGAATGCTCTGAAAGGGAAGGTAGGAGAAGACACAGTCATTCCCCAGAATGCCGGCCTCTACAGCCCACGGCTGGGCCGGGTGCAGCCCCTCCGACACTTGATACGCAGGACAAGGTGTTGGGGTCATCCAAGCCACAGACATCATGACTACAGCTGAGCATGGTCCAGGCACCAAGGAGGACAAGGACGTTCCTGGCCGCCCTGGTGTATTCTCCAAATGCCTTTGTTTCCCCTCCAGCCCCAGGAAGTGAGGCAGAGGCTGTGGCCATTTTACAGATGGGGACAGTGAGGCCAACAGGGTGAGAGATCTTCAGCACCCACTCTCCTGCCCCCAGCTTGGGGCCCCAATCCCTGGCTCTCTGGGTTCCTACCTTGGGCCTCTGCCCATTAGGGATGGGGGTCTCGCCACTGCTCACACTCTCACGATGGTTGAGGTGCGCAAAGGGCCGAGCTGCCCCCCAGGACTCGAGGTAGCGGGTCATGCGCACTGATGCCCGCATCTTCAGGGCCGCGTCCCCCTTGGACCTGAGGGGGTGTTGCCTCGGCGGGGGCGGCTGCTGGCTCTGTGGGCAGACACAGACATGGGCCTGTGCCACCCCTCTCCAGGAAGGGGCCGCCACCCCCAACTGACTCTCCCTGAAGTGTGACACCACCCTCAGCACTGGCTGATCCCGTGAAAAAAAAAAACATCAAAGAAGTTGCTCAACCTGCAGTGCCCTTGGAGAATGGGCTGCCTTTGGGGACTGGACGGCCAAAGCCCAGTGCACTCTGAGGCCAGGCCATACGGGATCCCAGCTTAGTGCTCTGGCCCTGCCCCAGGCTGAGAAGAGGCTGGCGGGTATCCACCACCATACCCAGCCCCACCCCCTGCTCTGCCTCCCCAGGGAGAGATGCAGGGCTCAGGTCCCAAGGCCCCATGGCCCTTGAGGGACGAGAGAGTCTCTGGGGCCTGAGCACCCATCAGCCCCTCCCCAGGAGGCACCTGGGAAAGCCACAGGCATCCTACCCCGCCCTCCCACATGTGACCGGCACGCGCGCGCTCCTTCCTGTGGGAAGCAACCAGGAGGAAGAGGAGTGCTGACCGCCTCGAGAAGTGGCCAAGCCAGAGTAAGCCAACCCCCAGGGCAGTGATCCAGGGAGTTCCACTTCTGTGGCTCCCAACCACAGATGGCGCAGGGCCATGACTTGCCATGTGCCTGTGAGACCCAGCCTCACGCCAGACCTCAGTGGCTCAGCCAGGCTGTGAATGCATGGCCAGCCCTGCCTCCCCTACTCAGGCCACAGACTTGAGACCCACCCTCCCCTGCAAGAGCACACGCCTGAGGCCTTCCCCAGTTGGAGTGGCCAGGCAAAACTGGGAAAGGGGCAGGGAAGAGAAAGTTCTGCAAGGCTGTCAGACATGAGCTAAAGCTGGCTCCAGGTCTGCCGGGTCTCTCCTCAGCCCCCGAAACATTCCCCTGTCTCCTGGGGCCCCGCAAACACCCCGTGGATGAGCCTCCACAGCTACAAACACTTGCTAAGCCACAGCACCACTTTCCTGGAAATCTCGCCACCTTTTGGGACAGAAATACTGTATTTTTAAGCCCTGAGCCACATCTATCTCCGTAGTCACGGGAGCCGCATGGAGTCCGGCCCTGGTGAGTGTCCCAGAGTAGGAAGAGCGTGCTCGCCCTGCAGTGAGCAACCTGGTGGGCGTGGGTGCATTTCTACATCCCCTCCTCCACCGTGGCAACTCTGCCTATGCAGCACCCAGCCATTCAAGTTCAAGGTCACTGGCACTTCTCTTATAGCAGGGAAACCAGACACCCCAGCTCCCTGAGAAACAAATAAAAAGCAGAAACAAGTAAAAAATCAGATTCCTGAGTTCTGAGAAACATCTGCCTGCTCAGAATGGGCATGGCATCAGTATGAGCCCCACGGGGCACCTGCAGCCACCATCCAGTCCACGGGAGCCCACCCTGCCCCAGCCAGGCCACGCAGCAACAGCGCGAGACAGAGCCCACGGAAGCCAGTGCAGAAAATCCACCTCCACATCAAAAACAAGAGCTACAGATGAGCGCCCTGCACACAGGAGGACGTCCCCAAGGTAGGAGAAATGCAGGGTGCACAACCATGGGCTTGTCACCACCACCTTAGCAAGAAGGGCGGGGTGGGGGTAGGGTGGGGTGGGGAAAGGGTGGAGCTGCCAGATAAATACAACTGCCCAGTGAATAGTGCGTGGACACTCATGCAAGAAGCAGGATTCACGCTTATCTGAAATTCAAGTCTGCCCACATGGCCTGCAGCTTTCCCCGCTCAGCCTGGCAGCCTGCAGAGGTAGCTTTCAGAGCCTCCTGGGTGACGGGCTCTGCTTCATTCATGCAAAGGCTGTCTGAGCATCGGCTTCAAGCTGGGCACCCATCGCAGCACAGGGTCAGGGTTGTGGCCTGAAGAGAGGAGCCCACTGCATGGCGCTCAGGCCGACAACAGGCAAGGAAAACGGAAAAACAAACAAGGCCATTAGGGATGGAGGGAGGAGCGTTCTGGGTGCAGGACCTGCAGGCAGCCACCAGCCTGGCAGTGGAGGGGCCAGAGGGGACCGGGTGGGGTGATGGGACAGGAGAGCAGGGGAAGGGCCTGGAGGGGGGGGGCCAGGGCCGGCATGCAGGTGAGGTTCAGGGCCCTGTTCTAGGTGGCTGCTGGAGCAGGACACTGCAGCCACCATCCAGTCCACGGGAGCCTGCCCTGCCCCAGCCAGGCCACGTAGCAACAGTGCGAGACAGAGCCCACGGAAGCCAGTGCAGAAAATCCACCTCCACATCAAAAACAGGAGCCACACATCAAAAACACAGGTACCGGGAAGGGTTTTCCCAGATGTTGGCTCAGTATGGATGGCACGGCACCAGAGGCCTTGGGGGCAGAGTGAGGCCAGCAGATGCATAGGGAGCCTCACAGGCCAGCCCTTGGCCCCCCACCCCACCGGGGTTCTAGCACTCGGGCCAGCCCCAAGGCACAGCCAGGACCAGAGTGAGAAGCCACTCGCCGCCGGCTGGGCCGACATTCTCGAGCAACCCACAAGGATGATTCACAGAGCAGTGGCCAGACATGCCGGCCTCCCTCGCGCAGGCCAGGGGTGGGCAGCGGACGGGCCGGAGCGGGCCCCACCTGGACAGAGGCAGTGGAAACGCCTCCCCCAGCGTGGGGTCCTGGAGCCACCAGGGAGACTGTGGTCAGAGCCCAGGACACACAGCAGCTCCTACCCAGTGGTCCCCAGGCCACTCCTGGCTTTCCTGAGTCTCATCCAAAGTAAGTTTCAAAAGTGTGTCTCTTGGAAATGTGGGAGATTAATAACCACCTCATGGAAAATAAACCAAAAGTGACAGTAACTCATAGAATGCGGTGACGTGCCAGGTGCCACGGGGGCCTCACTCAGATCAGCTCCTGCTGGTGGGGCAGGCCTTGCTTTCCATCACATAGGAAAGAACGGAGGCCTGAGGAGAGGCTACTCAGCACCTAGAAGGTGCCCAGGAACAGGGAGCTCTCTCCTGCTGGGGCAGGGCCCTTCCCCATCCCTCCCTCCACAGGGTCTCCCCCAAGGTGTGGGCTGTGCTCCCCAGGGCCCCTCCAGTCCCTCAGGGTCCCCCCAGCTGCGGCCTCCGAGCCCTCGTTACCCGGGGGTCAATGACCAGGTAGGTGCGGATGTTCATCTCCTTGAGGTAGGGGTCCCGCTGCTGCCCGTGCCCATCCTCCACCTCGTACGCCTTGTCCAGGTGCTTCAGCGTCGCCTCCGTGATGTGCACCCGGCTGCAGAAGACCCAAGTCAGGCAGAGCCGTGGGGCCCAGAGAAGGCTGGCACCCACCCAGGGGTGCACAGCAGCCAGGTCCGGGCCCCAGGCTGGCTTTTCTGCATTCAGCCCTCCCCCCACACCTGACCCCATCCAGACCCCTCAGTTCACAGCCAGCCCGGGGCCTCTGGCCCTGCTGCTGCCCAGTCCAGCCCAGCCTCACCCAGGAACTCCGGCTGCCTCCATCCGGTTGGCCAGGGACACATCATGGGACCACACGTCATACTGCCACTTGCGCAGCCCGATGACCCCACACAGCACATTCCCAGAGTGTATGCCCACACGCATGTTGATGTCCACGCCCGTGGCCTCCCGTACCTGCCTGGAGCAGAGTGGCTCAGTCACCCCGCCCTGCCTAAGCCCTGGGACAGGCTGAAGATCTGAGGTGTGGGGTGGATACAGGACGGGATGTGGGAACAGGGCAGGCTCAGCCCACAGAAAGAATATTCTCAGCCTGATGGGGCTTCTCTTCAGAAGGGGCTGAGCACCCTGTCCTCAGGAGCATACAAGTGGGTGTGGTCACACCTGAGCTCAAGGGCTAGGCAACAAGGAGGAATTCCAGCTGGTCACTATAGCTCATGGTGATGGGCCTGAAACACATGCAGCAGCACTGGCTGGGTTTTAAAAGTTTACTGGGGGCCAGGCACGGTGGCTCACACCTGTAATCCCAGAACTTTGGGAGGCCGAGGTGGATGGATCACTTGAGGTCAGAAGTTCGAGACCAGCCTGGCCAATATGGTGAAACCCTGTCTCTACTACAAATACAAAATTAGCCAGGCATGGTGGCACATGCCTGTAATCCCAGCTACTCAGGAGGCTGAGACAGGCGAATCAATTGAACCCAGTGGGTGGAGGTTGCAGTGAACCAAGATGCACCATTGCACTCCAGCCTAGGCAAGAGAGCAAGACTCTGTCTCAAATAAATAAAGAAATAAATAAATAAATTTTACCTGGGTGCCTTTTATGCCCCCCAATCCCTGGGAAGCAGGGCCCTGGGAGTCATTGGCACCATTGAGTATGGGAGCAGAGCCGCATGGGAGAGTTTCCCTGGGGCACAGGAGACCCCCAAGACAGGAACAGAGCCTGAGTCCCCATGACATGACAAGCAGCACCACGTGTCCACCAGCAAGGCTGGGCACTGACCAAGTCTTCTGGGATCAGAGCCAGAGGCGCACGGGGGCCTGTGCAACCTCTGCCTGTTACAGGGCAGGGGCCGGCCTGAGGTTACACAGGCAGAGGAGCAGGGCCAGGCCCCTCCAGCTCTGCCCAGGCTTCCTCCTAGCAATACCAGCCACCTGCAGCAGGACTTCAGGAGGAAGGACAGGCTGGAGCAGGGACTTACACCGGGGACAAGCAGCCCCGCCAGGCCCTGCTCTGCCCCACAGTGGTCTCCCTGGCTGGGCCTGCCTGGCCCTGTCCCCGTACAGCCCTCTCAGCAAGCTCTTCCCACAGACCCCAGCTGCTCAGAGCCACAGGGGACCTCAAGGGGAGCTGGGTGCTATCAGGAAGGAGCCTCCAGAGCTGAGGGTCTCCCTTTACCCTCAGGACCAGGCCCGACTCCAGGATCTTCACAGGGGTAGCAGGAAGTAGATGGAGCCTTGCAGTCGGCCCCTGGGTCCGAAAGGTCCCCCAGCTGCCTGCCCTGAAGCCTCCTGCTGTTGCTAAGACCCCATCCCTGAGAGGAGCGGAGCCCACTGCCCTGACTTCAGGTCACCCAGCTCTGAGCTCCAGAGAAGCTTTCTGGGACTCAGAGTCACAGGCAGCCCCCAGAGGGAGGGAAGCAAACAGATGAGGTCTGAATCCTCCAGCAGGCTGGGTGGTCCAGGCAAGCTGCTTTCAACCCCTGAGCCTCAGTTTCCCTATCTGTGAAATGGGAATGACCCATCCCCTATGGGTCTGCCACAGGGCAGGACCCAGCGCCTGGGCCCACCCGGGACCTACTTGATGGCCTCGCACATGTCCAGCCCCATCTTCACGCAGTTCCGGGCATGGGTGGGCAGCGACACGGGCAGACCCGACACACAGTAGTAGCAGTCCCCGAGAATCTTGATCCGCATGCACTCGTTGGCCTGCAGGGTGAGGGAGGGGCCTGGTCACTGGAAGGTCTGGGTCTGGGACCTCTCACAACAGCCACCTCCCCTACCCTCCAGGGTGCACCTGGCTCTCTCCTGGCTGGGGGCTGCCTCCCAGGGTCCAGCCACCAGGAGCCACTTCTGGGCCTGGCAAAAGGCTTAGTGGCATCGGGGACTCCCCGGGAGGAGCCCCCAAGCAGGCACCAGGGGTGAACACAAATGCTCTTAAGGGCCTTGGGGAGGGCTCTGCCTTGGTTTTGTTTGCCCAGGTAATGTTTGAGTGCCTACTGAGTACCCGGCCCTGGGCCAAGCAAGGAGACAGAGCAGTGAACAAAACAGATGCAAATCCCCGCAGCCACAGAGCTCACACACAGGCAGGAGGGATGGGCGCTAAACTAGAAAAACAAAAACAAAACAGTGTGCCCAGTGGTGATGGGTGCTAAGAAGAAAACCAAGGCACAGGAGGGAGGCGACGTGCCCAGGAGGCCGGTGAAGACCTCTCAGAGGAGGAATCAGAATCACTAGAGCTAAGACCCCGAGGAACAGAGAGAGCCAGCCGCACCAGTCTCTGCAGGAAGAGTGCTCGGGCACCCACAGGACCCCTGGGGCCAAACAGCAGGGAAGAGGCTTCGAGGCAGCCGAGGAGCAGAAGACAAGGACTGAGGTCGCAGGTGCACACACCAAGGGGTCAGGTTGTGTCAAGGTCACCCAAACAGTGGCTGTGCTGCCAGGGCTTCGTAGGGAGGAAAGATATCGATGCAGAGGGAAGATAAGGATGGGGAGGGAGGAGACGGAGAGGGGCGAGACCAGAGACTCATAGGAAAAGGCCCAGGGATGGAAGGGGACCCCCGTGGGCCCTCAGAGGTTCATCTGAGGCAGTGCTGCGCCACCAAATCCTCCTTAAGCCCTCAGCAGGGGTGGCCACACACACTGAGGCCCCATGGGTGGGGCTTTAGGGGAGCTGAAGAAGGAGTGACGTACGGGACATCGGCCTCTGATCCCCCATCCCCACCCTTTACCCTGCTCTGCTGACCCCCATGGACTGGACACCCCAGCAGGTGGCCTTGTGCTCTGGCGTCTGGTAGGGAGGGAGCTGAGAGGGCTCCGTCCTACAGGGTCATGAGGGCTAGCCCTGCTCCCGAAACACTGTCTGTCTCCAGGGCTCCAGCCCATCCTGTCCTTGTCTCCCCTCCATGCCCATCAGCCATCATGGACCCAGGCCCCAGACACAGCACCAGCCCTGCCTCCAGGTCCCCTGCACCCGCCCAGTCTGGGAACTGTCCCTGGCCTGCGCCCTCCTCCAATTACTCAGTTTGAGAGTGTGCCAGATGTTTCCTGCCGGGCCCCATCTGGCACATGCTGAGTGGGTGACTGCAGGGACATGAGGACAGGCTTTACTAGAAAGCAGGCAACCTTGGCAGACCTGGATGCCAGGCGCTGACTCAGGACTCCTGATCTCCTCTCAAACCAGGCACGGGACGGCCCGTGGACCCAGCCCGGCTCTCAGAGATGTAGGGGAGCCATGTTCCCCAGACTGCAAGCTGGCTGATGGTCCCCTGAGTCTCTGACACGTGGAGTTGGGGAGCTGGGTCCTCCACTGAGGTGCAACATGTGTGCCTCTGAGACAGGAGGCCTTGGCTCTTGGAAAGAACTTACACTTCTGGAATCTGATTGTTGATAGGAGAAAAGGCTGCGATCAGCCCTGCCTGACTCTGCCCAGAGATTAGACGCTCGGACCGGGAAGCCTGCACCTGCTGTGGCCTCCCTTTCCCCATCTGTGCAACAGGGCCATGCCTCCCAGGCCTTCTGGGGAGGGAAAACTGTGTCCAAGAGACCAGGGACCCTCTGTGAGGGCTTTATGGTAAGGAAAGGGCCAGCTGTGGCCCGAGCCCAGGCCCCCTCCCTCACATGAGACCTAGCCTCTGGGTCTCCCAGCTGCTGGTTCAGAAGCTATGTAGATCCTGAAGGAAGGTTCCAGGCTAGACAGGCCCTCTGAGTCACTCAGTCCACAATGCCCAGGGTGGGACAGTTTTCCAGAGCATCCCTGGCCAGTGGGATCCTATAGCAGCTTGGTTACCCCTGTGACAGGGAGCTCCCCTCCAGTCCCTCCTAGGATTGAGCAGCTCTGATCATGAAAAATTCTTCCCAGCGTGAAGCCATAACTTGCCTCCCATCAAGTTCTAGAACATTGATTTTCTGCACACAGAGTCATCGGTGCGGGGTGCGGGGGCTCCTAATACTTCTGATGAGGCCAGGCGTGATGGTGCATGCCTGTGATCCTAGCACTTTCGGAGGCTGAGGTGGGTGGATCACTTGATCCTAGGAATTCAAGACCAGCCTGGCCAACATAGTAAAATCCTATCCCCACAAAACACAAAAAAATTAGCCAGGGGTTGTGGTGCACACCTGTAGTCTCAGCTACTTGGGAGGCTGAGATGGGAGGATGACCTGAGCCCAGGGAATTCGAGGCTGCAGTGACCTGTGATTCTGCCACTGCACTTCACTCTAGGTGACAGAGCAAGACTCTGTCTCAAAAACAAAACAAAACAAAACTCTGATGGGTGTGGACATGGGTGCTGGTGTTGCATTTAAGCTTTCCATGTAATTCACAGGTACAGCCAGGATAGGGAGCTGCCGCCTTAAATCTTACACTTCAGTCTCTGTTTAATGGCTACCACTTCCAGGAAGTCTGCCCTGACCATCTGAGGCTGGGCTAGGTGCTCCCCAGGGTCCCCGGCCCCTGCGCTTCTCTTAGAGCATATACCATGTAGGCCAAGGCTCCACCCAGGCTCAGGGCCTGGCACTTAGCCTCTCTCAGGACCATTTGGCCCTTCAGTGGAGACATTCCTTGCCTGACTCCCATTCCTGCCTGGCACCTCCCGAGCTCCTTGGCATCCCAGTCCTCACCTCAGCCCTCACATCCTTGCACATCTGACCTTGTGCCCTTGCCCCCTCACATCCTGTTCCCTGCACACAGCCACGTTCATCCCGTGGATACACAGGGCTTTCTCTCCACTCCAGGCTTTAATCTATGCTGTTCCCCCTGCCAAAAACACTGTTCCCTTTCCTCCTCAGAGATTTTTTTCAAGTGTCTCAAACTTTAAGGTGGACCAGGAGCAGTGGCTCACACTGGAATCCCAGCACTTGGGAGGCCAAGGGGGAAGGATCACTTGAGGTCAGGAGTTTGAAACAAGCCTGGCCAACATGGCGAAACTCCATCACTACAAAAAATACAAAACGCTGGCCAGGGATGGTGGCACGTGCCTGTAATTGCAGCTACGCAGGAGGCTGAGGCAGGAGACTCGCTCGAGCCTGGGAGGTCAAGGCTGCAGGGAGCAGTGATGGCACCCGTGCACTCCAGCCTTGGTGACAGAGCAAGACTGTCTCACAAAAACAAACAAAAATAAAAGTTTAATGTACACATGATTCACCTCAGAGCTTGTCAAAAGCTGCTTCTGGGTGAGGCTGGGCATTCCACAGTCCCCCTGAGCTACCAGGTGAACAGAAGCTTCTGGACTCACCAGGGAGGATGGAGCCATCTCCTCCTTCTGAGGCCACATCTGAGCTCTGGAGCCTCAGTATATTGCCCAGTGTGCGCTGGCAGTCTCCCCACTAGCCTCACACTCTGGGGGCACAGGATCCTGGCTGCTGTGGTCACCACTCACCCCCACCTTTACCATGGGGTGCTCATATGTGTTTGCCGGCTGGATGGGAAAATTCAGCCATGGCCTCCCCAACTCAATCCCAGCAGGGCACTGGACACTGGACACCCCTGGGGATGCAACGGGCAGGGTAGGGGCCTGGCTTTGCCCAGCACAGGCCAGCGGGCTCACCTTGGCGATCTGGTCGAACTTGCCAAAGAGCTCGTTCAGCACCACCACCAGTTCCTTCGGGGAGCAGTCGCTGGCCAGCCGCGTGAAGCCCACGATGTCCGCATAGAGGATGCTGGGGAAGGGGCGGGGTGGGAGGGAGTGTCAGAGCCAGGCCCCTGAATGGGGCAGCAGGAGCCTGCCAGACCTGAGCCCAATCACCCCTGCCCTTCCTCAGCCTCCGTAGGAATGGGAGAGTTGCACCCGGCCACAAAGATTAACGTTCCGGGGGCTTCACATTAAAGTAAAAGGGAGCAAAGCCCAGAACTTGCAGGAGCCCTCGGGCCTGCTCCAGCCCCATCCCTGCAGACAATCACGGAGCGTTCCTCTTGCCCATCCAATGTTCGCCATAGCACAGACTTCAGAACTCCCTGAAGCGAGGTGGCTCTGTGCTCCCTCAACACAACCTCCACACCCAGTGCTTCACAGGCATCCAGTGCTCACACAGCCCTCGCAGAACTGCCATTCTACAGACGTGCAAACTGAAGCTCTGGGACACCGAGACTTGCTGAGAAGCCAGGAGCTGGAATCTGCACCAGATGTCCCTGCTCCAAAGTCCTGAGCTCATGGACCATGCACAGTCCAGAGAAAAGGCAGTGGGCCAGCCTCGGATATAATGCTGGTGCTACAGGCAGAGGACACAGGGGGTCTCCCAGGACCCACGTCTACGCTTGACAAACTCAGGTCAGTGCATTCAGGTAAAACTCTGTGGTTCCCTGTGAATCGGGTGTCAGAACTGGGGCACTCTTGGGCACCAAGGCAGGGGGCTTTACCTCCTTCTGGGGATCCTGGGCCCCCTTGAGAACCATCTGAAGGGACTCCTTCCTTCAAAAAGCCATGTTTACTCACACAGTTTGGCACTTTCGGGGGCTGCTACATCTTCCCCAACGCCAATGAGTCCTAAGGGCCCTGATCTGATCCTACCCCTTCGGAAACAGGTGGGGATTCTGAGGCCCAGGAAGGGCCCTGGATTGACCTGGGACCATGGGGCCCTCCCCCAATTCCTACGTGGGCCAGGGTCTGAGCCTCCAGATGGGGCGGTGGGCTCAGCCCCCAGGAGATACCGTCCGCACGGCTCGCCGCCCACCTGACGTTCTGGTGCCGCTTGACGTAGAGGCTGTGGAAGTTGTTGTCGGGCACACAGCGGCGGTCACCATGCTCCTTGAGCCGCTCGATGATGGCCAGCTTCATGCCCATGGAGATGTGGGCCGGGAGCACCGACAGCAGCAGGTTCTCCTGGGGGCAGGCAGGCAGGCAGACCAGAGGGTGGACCGGTGGGGGACAGGCAGGGTGACATCAGGGTCCAGACCTGGCCTACCTGGTCCCTGTCCTCCCTGCCCACCTGCCTGCTCTGCCCACAATGCCCCCATCTCTGCTCCTGCCCTCTGCCAACCCAGCTGGGCATCCACTTCCCATGTCCCCAGCAGCCCCCAGGACTCAGGCTGTGTGAGAAAAGGTCCTTTCAGCTGGGGAGGCTAAGCGATGGGTGGGCAGCCTGGAGCCATTAGGGCCTTCTCTGCCACCACCTGGGGACGGCCTGCCCAGGACTGAAACCACACAGAGGAAGGCAGAGTCAAGAGTTACAGGCTCTGGTTACCCGGCTAGAGCCCAAGACTGACCGAGGTGAGAACTGCATGGGTGTCTGGCATGCACCTCTCGCACATGGCGCCACGAGCGTCTCATGTCCAAGAGAAAAAGGAAGAGGACAGGGGTGCGCAGGGTGAGGAGTGGGGGCCGCGTCCCACCTGCTGGCGCTTCTCAATGCGCAGCTTCCGGCGGATCTGGATGCACTTCACAGTGTAGGTGAAGAGGTCCCGGGACGCGTCCTGCATCTGGTTCTTGTGGAAGGCACCAGTCAGGTTCCCGCACAGGAAGATGACCGCGTTGGCCAGCAGCTGCAGGTGGGCCGGGGTGAGGTCAGATGTGGCCTGGCCCATGCCCTCCCAGGACACCAGACCCCTAGGTGGGCTCGTGATGGCACTGTTCCCTTCCGATTTCCTGACCCCCAACCCACTCAGGATGGCAGTCTTCCTGGGGCAGACAGGGAAACCGAGGCCCAGACAGGTATTAGTCTCCTAGTGAGTCACTAGGACCACAAGACCAGGATGCCCAGGGAAGCAGAAGAGACCACCTCACAGAGCCCAGGGCCAGAGGGGCATGCATGCTAAGGGTAGTCCCAGAGGGCACAGCTCCCAGCTGGCTGTGCAGAAGTTCAGCCTCTGCCCAGAAAGGACCCCAGGCATGGTCAGGAGGAAAACATATCTAAACCCCCAAAAATTATGAACAAAAGGTTTACTCATTCAAGACAAAAGGCTATGTCCTGGGAAACCCCCAGCTCTGTCAGGACAGGGACTGAGAGAAACCTCGGGAATGGGACTCACCCCACGACAGTGCCCCTGAACCAGAGGGGAGGGCCTGAGGTCAGGACCCTGAGGGCTGAGCCACACGGGAGCCCTAGGCCAGCAAAACAAGGCTGGAGGCCAGGGCCACCCCTGGGGGCCCAGCTTCGGAGCAGACTTGGAGAGGGCCCGGCCTGGAAGCGGGCTGTCTGCAAACACGGCTCTGGGACCTATGGGTCCAGCTCACTCAGAGGGGACCCCCATCTGCCCTTAGACCCAGACCACAACCCCCTCCCCAGAGGCCTTGGCCCATCCTTCACCTGTAGCCCCACCCGGACGCTGGGTGTCGTGAAGCCTCCCATCAGAGCGCAGAGCACCAGGAGGTGGGAGGCGGTGGAGAGGATCCCCACGGCCACAGCCCCCCGCATGCTGAAGGGCAGCAGCGTGTACACCACGAAGACGATGAACAGGAAGAAGGGCACCTGTGGACACAGCCTCGTGAGCCCAGTGCCCTGACGTGCCGCCCCAGCCCTGCAGCCCCCGGAAGCCTGCCCCACACCAGCACACCCAGTGGTTGTCCTTAGGGCAGCCCCTCGCCCCGCCATGTGGGCAGACATACGAGGGAACAAGAAAAGCCAGAATGTGTTTCTGGGGTGGGCCCAGCCACACGGTTCATGGTTTCCTGTGCAGATCCACTGCCTGTGGCCACCCCAGGCGGGTGGCTCCATGGTCCACATGATCCAGGGAGCCCCCACCTGGTGCCCTTCCCACGTGGCTCTCTCTGGGCAGGAATGGTGATTACCAGGAGGCTAGGGCTCCCTCTCACCAGCTGCCTCCAGCAGGGCGGCCCCACCTGCCCTCCCGCCACCCCCACCCACCGGCCCTGCGTCTATCCTTCTGGGAGTGATACGCAACCCTCTTCAGTCCCCATGATTTCCTTGGGCCTCATCCCAGCCTGCCTCAGCCACAGGAGCTGTCACAGGACCCAGGCCCACCGGTCAGAGCGTGCCACTGCTTGGTGACAGTGACTGTCCAGGACTGGACCGGTGACCCCGGCCAGGCCAGTGCAGCTCAAGCCTGCAGGTCGAGCTGGTTGAGAAAGGGCCCCGCAAGTGCTGCAGCCCGACATCCAAGGGAATGTTCCCTCTTCTCAGCCCAGTCAGTGCAGACAACTCACAGGGACAAATCCAGTCCAGGCCCATCCTAGACACACAGCCAAGCACGTGGGGCAGGAAGGGCCCATGGCAGTGTACCAACCGCGAGGGTGGGAGCTGCTGAGGATGCAGCTGTCAGGGAGTCCAGAGTCCCCCCCGTTACCTGCTCCCATGAACAGGCCGCCTTCGTCCACGCGTCGAACACCAGCACGTAGCCCAGGGCCATCAGGCAGGCCCAGGCGAGCAGCGCCAAGGCCCTGAGCCAGCGACGTAGGAGACACTCGACGTACACCAGCACGGAGAGGGCCAAAAACACTGCCAGCACCAGGAACGCCGTGCCCAGAATGGCCTGGTGTCTGGAGGGGTCCTGGGCAGAACATACAGACAGAAACACCTCAGCTTTCCCCTGGGCAGCAACACCTCCTCCAGAAAGTCTGCCGGGCTGGCTGCCTCACTTACAGCTTCGTCCACAGGGAGGGTGTGGCTGCGCCCTCCCACACGCGGTTCCTGCTCACCTTCAGTCCTTTCTTTGTCACCTCTGCCAAGGCTGCCTCAACCACCCACTTCCTGTCTCCTCGGGAGTCCGAGCATCGCCCACAGCCCCACCCGCGATGCCATCACTTTCCATCCGCCTCTGCCTCCTCTCTGGGTTCCTACGGTGCTCTGTGGGCAGCCACAGGTGACACCATGAGCACAGGGCGGGACAGTCTCAGAAAATCATCCAAAGGGGACACGGGCCTGGCCCTCAGCGAGTAAGCAGAGGCTGCTGAAGGATTCCAGGAAAAGGCATCCCATGGGGAAAAGCTGGGGCAGCGGCACGGAGTAGGACGGGATGGGCACGGTGTCCGGGAAGTCCGTGGGGGCAGAGGCCTGACTGTCAGGCTGGCACACGGTAGCAAGTATCCTATGGTTGGTAGCCATGTGGGTCCAGGCAGCACTGGCAGAGCAGCCACTGTCCTGGCCACTTAACACACATAAACACCCTGCAGTTTCTGAGTATTTTTCCAGATCTCTGCTAATCGAATTTACATCAATTATAAAGAAAATGGGCGGGCCATGGTGGCTCATGCCTATAAGCCCAGCACTTTGAGAGGCTGAGGCAGGTGGATCACCTGAGATCAGGAATTTGAGACCATCCTGGCCAACATGGAGAAACCTCATTGTTACTAAAAATACATAAATTAGCCGGGCGTGGTGGCAGGTGCTACTCTGGAAGCTGAAGCAGGAGAATCACTTGAACCCAGGAGGAGGAGGCTGCAGTGAGCCAAGATCACTCCATGGCTCTCCTGTCTGGGCAACAAGAGTGAAACTCCTTCAAAAAAAAAATGCAGTTCCTCAGTCTATCCCCCACTTTTTAAATGCTCAATAGCCGAACACGATTAGTGGCTGTACCAAGGCGGGCCAGAGACGACAAGAGTGGTGTCAGCCTGGAGAGCTGTGTGAGAATGATTCTGAGGAGGCCCAGCACAGTGGCGGATGCCTGTAATCCCAGCGCTTTGGGAGGCTGAGGCAAGCAGATCACCTGAGGTTGGGAGTTCAAAACCAGCCTAACTGACATGGTGAAACCCCATCTCTACAAAAAATACAAAAAATTAGCCTACTGTGGTGGTGCATGCCAATGATCCCAGCTACTCGGGAGGCTGAGTCAGGAGAACTGCTTGAACCCAGAGGTGGAGGTTGCAGTGAGCCGAGATTGCACCATTGCACTCCAGCCTGGGCAACAAGAGCAAAACCCTGAGGCCGGGTGCAGTGGCTCGTGCCTGTAATCTCAATGCTTTGGGAGGCCAAGGCAGGAGGATCACTTGAGGCCAGGAGTTCAAGACCAGCCTGGGCAGCATAGTGAGGCCATGTCTCTACAAAAAATATAAAATAAAAAGAGGATTCTGAGAATGTAGCCAGGCTCAGTATGGAGTGTAGGGATTGATTAATGATGTCTGCATGGGTATGGGAAGTGAGGGTAGTGATACCCAGGCCATCCCTGACCCCAGGTCTTCAGTAGAATCAAATTTCATCATGGAGGAAAATTAGAATAATTTATTCAGACAATTTAATGTAATATTTAAAACCACTTCAGACGTCAAAATTGAATTAAACTTAAGAGAGGCTGGGCATGGTTGTGCATGCTTGTAATCCCAGCTACTCAGGAAGATGAGCCAGGAGGATTACTTGCACCAGAAGTTCAAAACCAACCTCAGCAACATAGCAAGACCCAGTCTCAAAAAAAAAAAAAAAATTAATTAGAAACCTGTCTTCTACCAGTCTAAATATGCTGTAAAAGACATAGCATTGGCGAGGCGCGGTGGCTCACGCCTGTAATCCCAGCACTTTGAGAAGCCAAGGCAAGTGGATTATCTGAGGTCAGGAGTTTGAGACCAGCTGGGCCAACATGGTGAAACCCCGTCTCTACTAAAATACGAAATTAGCCAGGCATGGTGGCACATGCCTGTAATCCCAGCTACTCAGGAGGCTGAGACAGGAGAATTGCTTGAGCCCAGGAGATGGAGGTTGCAATGAGCCAAGATCGTGCCACTGCACTCCAGCCTGGGAGACAGACTGTCTCAAAAAAAAAAAAAAAAAAAAAAAAAAAAGACATAGCATTTTACAGAAGAGGAAACTGAGGCTAGGAGAAGATAACAGCTTGCCCAAGGTCAGGGCTGAGACATGAAGCCCAGGGGCTGCGTTTACTCACCCCATGGCTGAAGGCGATGATAATGAGGGCCAGGCAGGCGATGATGGCCACCAGCAGGAGCGTGAGCAGCAGCGGCCCGTGCTGGCTGGTGAGCCGGTACTTCTCGTAGAGTGCATCTTGGTCAGGGCCCTCCTCACCCTCATTGAGGAAGTATCGGCCCTTAGCCGGCATTCTCCACTGCCAGCAAACGTGTCCACCGGCTGTTAAGGAGGCCCCAGGGCCTGGAGGGCATCTGTCTGCCAACAGCCTCCCCTGTGGGCCTAGGCCCCTGGCCTCTCCAAGGCCGGCAAGCGGGCCTGCTGCTCCATAGCCAATGAGAGGTCTGCACAGCTCCGGTGCCAGGCCTTGCTCACTGTGTCGCTGGCATCCCTCTGTGCATCCAGACTGGGCTGACTCCACACGCGGTTACTCTGCGGAGACCAGAGCTTGACCTGACGGGGAGAGTCAGGGGAGGGCTGGCATCAGGGAGAGCGGGGCCCAGGCCTCACAGCTCCGCATCTGATTTATCCATCTTTACCCTACCCTAACTTTTATGCCCTGTTGTCATAAAGCTAGTTCCCTGTGTCTTCTAGAACTGCACTGTCCAAGAGAGTAGCCACTAGCCACATGTGGCTGTTCTTTTTTTCAAGGTAGGGTCTCACTCTGTTGCCCAGGCTGGAGTGCAGTGGCACGATCATAGCTCACTGCAGCCTCAAACTCCTAGCCTCAAGTGATTCTTCCAACTCAGCCCCTTGAGTAGCTGGGAATACAGGTGCGCACCACCACACCCCAAGCTAATTTTTAAATTTTGTTTTGTAGTGGTAGAGTCTCCCCCTGCTGCCCAGGCTGGTTTTGAACTCCTGGGCTCAAGCAATCCTCCTGCCTCAGCCTCCTAAAGTGCTGGGATCACAGGCAAGAGCCACCATACCCGGCCACTATTTTAAAGTAAATTCAAACTAATTTTAAATAAAATCAGAAACTCAGTCCCTTGGTCACACTAGCCACATTTCAAATACCAGGTGCGGTGGCTCATGCCTCTAATCCCAGCACTTTGGGAGTCTGAGAAAGGCAGATTACCTGAGATCAGGAGTTCAAGACCAGCGTGACCAACATGGTGAAATCCTGTCTCCACTAAAAATACAAAAATTAGCTGGACATGGTGGCATGTGCCTGTAATCCCAGCTACTCAGGAGACTGAGGCAGGAGTATGGCTCAAACTTGGGAGGCAGAGGTTGCAGTGAGCTAAGATTGTGCCATTGCACTCAGCCTGGGCAACAGAGCAAGACTCTGTCTCAAAAAGGAAAAAGAAAAGAAATACTCAACAGCCACATGTGACTGGTGGCTGCTGTACTGGCCAGCACAGATACACAGAGCATGTGTGTTATCACAGAAACTTCTACAGACCAGCTCTGCTTGGCACATTTCACTTTTTGCTTTCACACAAAGGTCTCTCCGATCCATCTCAATTCACTCTGGTTATGGTGTGAGGTAGGGATCAAGGTTCATTTCTTTTTTCCACATGGATATTGAACTATCCCAGCAGTGTTCAGTAAACTGGCCATCCCTTCCTCACTGAATTTCAGTGGAACCACCTCTGTCATAAATCAGGTGACCACACAGTTGAGATCTGTTTCCAGGCTCTGCTCTGTCCCCATGGTCCTGGTACAGACACCACATTCACTTCATTTTCTAGTGAGTCTCACATCTCCAGGCCCAGAGGGTTCTAAGCTGTGATCCTGGGGGCTCTGAGATTTGGGGACATGCCTCAGGGCCCCAATGGGAAGGGAAGGCAGAGGGGCACAGGCTCAGGCCTCCATGCCCGTTTTCAGCCAGAGCAGCCCACTGCATCTGTTACAGAAGCTCCACATAAAACTGCATTTTTTTCTTTTCTTTTCTTTTCTTTTTTTAATGGGGTTTCACTCTGTCACCCAGACTGGAGTGAAGTGGTGCAATCATGGCCTGTTGCAGCCTCAGCCTCCCCGGGCTCAGGCAACCCTCCCACCTCAGCCTCCTGTGTAACTTTGCAGCAATAACAGGAGGCTGAGGTAGGAGGATTGCCTGAGCCCAGGGAGGCCGAGGCTGCAGTGGGCCATGTATTTTTTTGTAGAGATGGGGTTTCACCATGTTGCCCAGGCTGGTCTTAAACTCCTAGGCTCAAGCATTCTACCCTCCTTGGCCTCCCAAAGTGTTAAGATTACAGGCATGAGCCACTGTATCTGGCAAAGATCTTGTTTTCTTAAAAGATGCCCCTGATGCAAATTTCAGATATCTGCAAGCCTTGCTTCACAGAAAAGGAAGCTGAGTCTCAGAGAGGGACATAGAGGCCCCTTTGTGACAAAACTGTGAGCCGACCCCAGGCTTGCCATGCTCAGCCCATGTGGGCTCCTTCTTTCCCCAGCACCATTCATTCATTAGCACATTCATCTATTCCAAAAAGTCTTGTGAGTCACACCAACGCCTGCCAGCCCCTACACCTCCTGTGTGCTAGGCTGGGCTCTCTCTCCCCAGGGATCCCCATCAGTCTCCAAAGGAAGGAAAATTACCAAAAATGTGCAATCCCTCACACAGCAATGAAGACTTGGGGACAGCTGCCATATTCCCAGCAGGAACCTGTGTGAAGGGGGTGACCTTGGACCAAGAGTTCAAGCCCCCAGTGTCCTCCAGGCCTGCCTCGGATTCAAATCAGGACATGGCCAGAGGCAGAGGGCAGAGGGCAGGGAGGCTATGAGACACAGGATGGCTCAGGGCAGTCACAGGGCACAAATGGCCAGCCACCAGTGGAAGCTTCAAAGGACAGCTGGTCCAGCACAGGGAAGGTGGCCAGGCAAGCCCCCAGCCCCTAAAGGCAAAAAAGCAGAATATCTAAGGTCCTCAAGTCTAAGGGAAGCCCCCACAACCAGCGCACGCTACTGTTAGATCCCTGGGGCCACCTCGACTCCAGAAGCCACCTCAGGCTCTATTTCCCCTGGAAGTTCCTATTCCATCACCACACACCAGGAGCGAAATGGAAAAACCACATATTTGGGGGAGGAGAATGGGGCCATTTGTTGCGGGGCCGTGGCTCCTTTGGTGCCTGGGCTCCTTCGGTGCCTGGGCAGGTGCCTACAGGCCTTGGCACCTGTTCAACCCTTCGGGGGTCTGGCCCAGAGCTGTCAAAGTGTTCAAACTACAAATCTGATTTCCACATGAAATAATGATTTTTTTTTTAATGTTGGCAGCTGATTTCAAATTTTTCAGTGATTGTAACTCACTAGTTTACAACCTCTAAATCTAAACGAATCAGTCTATATTCCACAAAAGGCACGTGTTGTGTGCTAACCATATGCATCCAAACCTGTGCTTCGGGGTTTGCCCAACAACATAAGATCCCTGCCTGAGACGCATCAAATTCAGCCTCCCCTCACCCCAAAATAGCCCTTTGCAGTAATAACAGCAGCAGCTCCTGTCACCCCGGCACCTGCACACACATTCATTCTCATCTTCACAACCAGTAACGGTCAAGGTGGCACCACCGTTTCACAGATGCAGAACTGAGCCCAGAGTGGCAGAGTGATTGCCTAAGATCACACAGCTGGAGCTGGTGGGTGGATGGGCTAGGATTCAAATCCGGGTCTGCCAGCTCCCAAACCAGGGCTCCACAGCCCAGGCTCCCCACCTGACATCCTGGGAGACTGAGCCAGATACCACAGCAAACAAACAGCAACCTCACCTGCCCCCGGCCTGAGGCCAAACACCAGTGCACCAGGACGGCCAGGCTGAGACGCTCCAAACACCAGAGGGCTGAGGCCGCTCTCCACAGCTGCTCCATCCCCCGGGCAAAGCCCCCAGACCAGAGCTGAGGCGGCCAGACACATGCATGCAAGTGCAGGTGTGAGAGTGTGTGGATACGCCCACTCCAGGCACACAAAGCCAGGCTGGGCCACCACAAGGAGAGGGAGGAACCAGCTGAGAGGATCCCAAGGGCCCATGAGAGCCCAGGCCTGGCAGACATGCCTCTCAAGGATCTCATTAGGCCACTTCCCGGGCAATGGCAGGCAGGGGCAGGTAGACAGTGGACACCACAGGCACATGGACTGCGGCCTATCCAAGGGACCTTGGCCCGCTCCTGGAACAAGCTGGGTAGCGTCAGGCCTGGGGGGAATGACCTCACTGATCACATCTCCAGACAGGCCCCAGGAATCCACCACCAGTGGCACGTCCCCAGGCCAGCTCCTCCCTAGGAGCCACCGCCCCAAAGCCAGACCCAGAGGCACCCCCTGCCTGGGGAGTTTTCAAGGCCCCTCATCCAATCACCAGTTCTTCCACCAGCCCTTGACTCAGTTGGCAAGGGGGAGGGCCTCCCCACAAGGCCCTGGATGAAGGGACCCTTCTGCCTTGTCTGAGATGCATCCAATCTGCTTCCGTCATGTCTGAGATGCATCTAATCCGCTCCTGCCATGTCTGAGATGCATCCAATCCAGGGCCCCCTGGATTGAATGACTCTGCCCTTGGCTCGAACACCTGCTTGCTAACAAATGACCCTGCTGTTAGCTTGCACACCTCCGTGACGGGCAGCTCACCACCTGTCAGGGCAGTCTCCTCCATCACTGGGTACTTTTTCTGGCCCTGAGTCCTCCGTTAACTCAAGCCAAGCCCTGCCTCTCTGTTACTCCCTAACCCACACCCCACGGGTCCTGTCTGAACTCCAAAGCCACCAAGAGCAGAGCTATGCCCTTTGGCAGGTCAAGTCCCCACTTGCTGAGGAGCCTGCAGTCCCGGGGTCCCTCACTTGTTCTTACCTCACGACCACCCCAGTGGTAGAGCAGGGTGAGCAGCCCCATTTTAAAGAGGAGGGGACTCCACCGTGGGGGAGGGGTGCAGATGCGGGGAGAGTGTTTCATGCTTCTGCTGCGCAATGTCCCCTCTCCTGATCCTCAGTACCCTGGCTCAGGGGCCACATGACCCCGGTGTGGCCAATCAGCAAAGTCCCTCCCAAGCTCCAGTGCCACAGGCCTGGGCAGTGAGGGCTCTTTTCGGACTTCTGCTGACCCAGGGAAGGAGGCATTCTCTTTTGTCGGTGGCCTGGCACTGCCAGCAGACACCTAAGCCACCACAAGGAGAGAGTGGGCCTGAAAATGATACCAACATGGAGACTTGGCACGAGACACAGGCCTGGCAACACCCACTAGAGCCACTGGAGCCAGCTGTGCCTGAAGCTTATGCAACCTGCAGACATTTAACCACACAAGACGAGCAATGCCCCTTTTAGCTTCAGCCAGTTTCAGCTTCTGTCACTAGCAACCAAGAGTCCCAAAGTCCACGTGGGTGTTCTGGGCCCAGGTTGTTGTGTCTGGGAAGCAGCCACGGCCCCTCAACGGGTTCCGAGTCAAGTGGGAGGTTCCCAGTCAGCACAGAGGTGACATGCGCCCCTGCAGACACAGCCAGTCCTCCAGAAAGGAGCTGGGCCCAGGAG